GTACCAGAATCTCGCCAGTCCGAATTTGTCCCAAGGGTGTCCTTAACTGTCAAGAGTACCCGAAATTACCTGCGCTTGTTGATGCCTCCAACGTTGATGTTGTTTCAGCTCCTGAAGATGTTGTTAGGGTTGGTATAGGTGTTGCCACCGATGGTGCTTCTCCGCCCGTTCTTGTTTCTACATAAGATTTTTGCAGACCAACATCATAACTGATTTTGTTGCACTCACGATTGCATTGTGCCTGACATTCCGTCAAATTTTCGTGTGTGATGCTGCTATTGCGGACGCATACATAGTCAGTCCTGGTTACGGCATAGTTATGAAAAAACAAACTACGAAAAATCCTGTTAGACTCACACAACGTCCTTTCCTGGTGCAGAAGTAGGGATGCAGAGATAACTGCCTAAATCAAAATCTTTCAAAAAGAGAAATTAAGAATAGAGTCTTTTCTCACATAATTCGGGATCTTTGGTTATAGTGGTGCCACCATAACTACTTGTGGAATATTCGCATGTGAAGTACACATATCTATAAAAAACTCTGGTATTTTGAGTAACACCTCAGAAGTACGAATCCTTTTGTTATTCACCTTCCCATTATCGTCTTTTCACATTTGCACTGTCCTTCATCAGTTCTTGCAGCTGAAAACGGGATACCATTGCCAGAATAGAGGAAAATTTTCTCAAATACAACTTTTTGGAAATCGCTGAATTGCGGCACTCTGCGCACATAGGCTCAGAAATGTTGGACAATGAGGGTTTTGTACAATGTCGGTAAGCATCGCAATTTTGTACAATGTCAGTAAGCATCGGAAAAATGGTGTGAATTTCAACACATTATAAGGAAAACTCCAAGAGTACTGGTGCATCAAACATGAAACAACAAAAATCGGACAGAACTTTCAAAACCATCTAGTATTTACCTTCCAGCAACGCTGCTAATTGAATGCTACAACAAAATGTGACAAATAATATTTTTCTTAATAAGCACTCGTACTTGTAACTGAATTTGTTTTCCAGTTACTTGCTAAAGACATACAACTGTAAAGCGTTATGTAAGCAATTTGACTGATGCTGGGTAAACCAAAGCGAAAGTGGGTGAAAAAATCTTGCCTCATGGTACTATGTGAAGGCCATCTTTTGCGTGTGCTAACGGTTAGGAATATATGAAGAAGGAAGGTCAAATTTTACTTTTTTAGGTAGGACTGGCAATCAGCCATAATGAGTTCTAAGCAAGTTTACAGAATGATCCCATCCCCTTGGAAATTTGATGTTGAATTTTTTTGTGATTAGAGAGTGTTTCCCCAACACAGCTGA